TTCTAGAGGTGAAGGAAGATGGGAGACGGGGGACGTCATCTTGGACGACTCGCTCGACTTCCATTGCTTACCTTTGGACGATAGGCTCCTCATAGCCGCGCGTCTCGCCATTCTCCTCTTGATGCATCGCAGGTTCAGGCGCAGGAATAGCAGGCGACCTATATCGGTTTCGTTTGCCTAGTCGTTATCGCCAATAAAGTACAACTGCCTGATATCGAATGCCACGTTGAGTGATTTAGGTACGATAACTATCTTTTATCCAATTTTAATCAATTTTATCCAATTATAATTTTATCCAATTGTTTATCCAAACTAATATGTTTATTATCTCGAACCATATAAATCAAAGTGAAAGCAGTATTGCGGCAATTGAATAAGTAGAAAACAAAATAAAGTATATCGGCTACCCGATACTTCCGAATGTTTATCCACATTCGATAATCTGATCTTTATCGTTAATATCCTTGGACGGTGCTTCTTTCTAAATCTTAGTTCTAAGAGAAAAAATCCGTCGCCTGTCATTCATAAATAATTATTTATAAATTCAAATTTTTATGGTAATGTATTAATGCTGACTGGATAAAATCTTATCTAATTTTCAAAATCAAGCTAGTTTTGATCCTTTACAATGTCAAGACTAAAGATTTGTTATATAATAATATAAGTTACATAATAATTAAATTTCAAATAAAATTCTTTTATGAAATGGTAATACTAAATTTTTAAAACTTCTCAGTAAAAGAAAATATTTATTTATGTGAACAGTGTATACGATCATTTCTACGTCAGTTAATAGTTTTATTCATTTACGTATTAAAAGTGAAAAGTAATAACATTATGGACTAACTTGTAGCTAGATAAACTTGCCTTACATTAAAATGGAAATTCACACTCGTAATGCGCGTATTCGTGAACCATCGGGCGAAAGTTCGTCCCGATATAAGAAACACGTTTTATAGCATTTTCGCAGCGATCAATATCGAGTGGGAGTTCTCCATCTTCTCCTCAAATTCCTTTAAGAAATTGCTTAATAAAAAGGGACAAGGATCATGAAAAAGAAAATAAATAAAGCATTGAGAAATTAAATTGGCAAATTGTATCAAAAGTTTTGATAATTCCCTTCGCATAAGCACTTCTCACCTCTTTCGAATCTTACATATAAAATGTCCCCTTCCCTTTTTCAAGCTTGATTAATAAATCCCACAAAGAAAATTATTTCCCAATAGAACAGAAAGAAAAAAAACAATTTTATAAACTATTGTTTGATAAAAGTAACTGACATTTATACAATACAAGAAACGGTCTAACTATCAAAAATTAAAATTAAATAAAGTAATACAGTGCTCTCTCTCTCATTCTCTCTTTCTTCTCTCTCTCTCTCTCTCTCTCTCTCTCTCTCTTTCTCTCTCTTAAACTATTAAAAAAAGAAATAAGGTATTAATTTTTCTCACCATCAGTGATTCATTGTTCATGATAAGATTAACTCAAAACATAAATAAGTTAATGTTTGACATGGTATTGCAAATGAATTTGGAGATTCAAAGGAAACCGAAAAAACGATTAAAAATGAGAAAGAGTAACGGAAAGGAGATAGTTTGAAGGTATAAAACAAGTTGATATAGCTGAGGGGAAAATTGATAAATAAGCTCAACATTTTCTGTGCACAGGCATTGTAAGAGGGTGAAGCAACAGGAAAACGAAACGTCAACGAAAAGCGCAAAAAAGAAAGAGATAAAAGGGGAGAGATAAGTGCGCGCGAGTGATCAAGAAAAGAAGTTCGGTTGCATTCTATCATAAAGACGAGTCGGTGAATGAGCCAACCATGGCGAAGGCGTCCGTCGACTACAAGGACACTTTTATTTTTGAAGCACACGAACCGAGAATAACAAGGCATTTCGTTGAAAAGTTAAACTGCGTGGCCGGCCGACCAAGTGTGTATAATAAACGAGCAAAGAACGAGGAAAAAATATTTGAAAGGGCCAGACTGATAGAGGAGAACAAACTGATAAAAGATAGGGAATTATTTTTATACGAACGTGATGATAATCAATCGTTTGTGAAATACAAAGCGAAGAAAATGCCGAAAAAAATTTTTTCCAAAAAAAATAAAATTGAAAAATTGGAAGGGTGAAATTCTATAATAATAATAATAATAATAATAATAATAATAATAATAATAATATGTATATGAATATGAATATGAATAATATGCATAATTTAATTAATTAATTAATTAATTAATTAATAATAATAATAATAATAATAATAACGTTAATAATAATTATTATTATATTAAAAATTAATGATAAAGTATATATAAATCTGTAAACATGCAGGAGGCTGTACGAAATTTCAAACGATCTCCATCATGTTACGGTGAACTACGATCGAACTGAAAATAATGAACGATAAATTATCACTATAGTCGTAAATTGTTGATTTGTAATTGTTAGATAAATTGAGAAATAAATACAAAAAATAAATTCAAATATATAAAAATATGCATGAAAAGAGGAAGTTTCGTAATCAATAGGTGTTGAAGCAGTCTTAGAAAATCGGATAGGAATGCATAATATTAATGTGAAGCTGATTAATGATTTTATTTATTTATTTATTTTTTCTTTTCTTTCATTTAAACAGAATATAGAATATGTCTTAACGTAGACAAGAGCAATGTTTTCTTACTAATTTTTACAAATTTCACACACAAACATTACATATATAGATATTATACGTCGAAATTTTTTTCTATCCAGTAATCTTAATTGTAAATCAATCGATTTATTGTCTTTTACATTTTTACAAATGTTTTATTATATTAATATTATCAAGTATAAAAGGGTAACTGAACCATTAAATGATCAAATACTATTGTTGAAAAAAAAAATAAATAAAATTTTGTTTTTACAACTATTGTACCTAAAAAATTTCAATACACATGCGCGCGCGCGCACACACACATAGTCATGCATTATTAATATAAAATTTGCAAAATTTCAAAAATTGTGAATTACTCTTAAAAATCGTTTAAGTCGATAAAATATGCTATAAATACACTCTTAAATTTTCTTTTAAAAATACATAAATGAATAATAAAAATTAAAATATGTTTGTACAATTTACGAAAAATTATTATTACTGATAACATAATGATTTCTAAATCCTTTATAGATTTCAAAATCAACAAACTAATAGTAACTTAATAAATATTTTAGTAAGTTAAATAGTGCTACGATAAATTAGATTTCATTTTATGTAGTTATAAACTCACTTTTAAATTTATTAATAAATTGAAAATATTTTTCAATCAATAACAAAAGTGTTTTGATATTATGTCCAAACATTGATTGATCATTAACTGGATCAGTTAACTCTATTTGCTCCTTTCATTGTTAATTAAAAATAAATTCAAAGAAAATGAAAATTTACACGAAGAAATCTAGAAAAAAATAATTTATATATTACAGCGAAATCAAATAATTCTAAAGTACGTATATCTTTTAAAAAATTTAAACTAGTGTATTGAGTATTTGTCTACGTGTCTATATTTGGTCTTGTAAAAACACACACACTTTCTCTCTCTCTCTCTCTCTCTCTCTCTCTCTCTCTCTCTCTCTATCTATCTATCTATCTATCTCTCGCTCAAGATCTACTGTATAATTATAGAAAAGCATACAATGGGATTATTGAAATGATGTTAAAGAGCGGTGCTCAAAGTAAAAAAATTAACAATAATACTTGAAGAAATGATACGAACTCGTACGCATTTTGTTTTTTCGTCAAGTGCTAGCAAAAATCCAAATCCGATATGAGTAACAAAGATCAATAACGCTGAATATAATACATTCATTAACGTAATTTACATTTTTCTGTTACATCGTATTTTTTATTATTTCAATATCCAATTGAATGGCAAATTTAATGTAACAGGCATTATATAGCCAAGTATTGATATATTTGTAAATTTAACGCGTAATTTGCTGGAAATTAATGTGTCTACAAAAATATCGATGATTATTTTACAAATAATGTATTCTGAGCCGATAAATTTCGGCAAATATAATAATTATTGTTTATTTATAAAATAATCGTTTAGCTACTTGAAAAACCGGCACTATATCGATATAGAAATTCAAGTTTGTTATTATCCTTCAAAGGATAATATTCCTCTCAGCTTATTGGAAATATAAAATATTAAATTAAACAGTAAGAAATTGTTTAATTAAAAACCTATCTGCTTGAAAATTGTTTAAAATAGGTGTACATAATATTGTGTAAAATATTAAAAAAAAATTAAAAAGAATGTCATTGTGTAAAGGGTCGTAACAAGATTTTTATTAAATATCATGAAGGATAAAACAACAAAGTCCAAGGCAAAAATCAAATAAATAAATAACTACCAGTCTCTTGTATAAAAATATAAAAATGTGTTGTATAAAAAAAAAGGTAAACTTCGAGCGAGGAAAATTTAAAAATTGTATTTCTTTTTGTATTATTTTAAGCATGAATATGAAATATTATATTTCTTTTTTATTATTTTTATTATATTGTATAATTTACTATTAATATAATATTATCTATTGAGTATAGTTTATGGAAAATCAATAAAAGTGAAATAAGACGAATAAAGTACTATTTGAGTGCAAATTAAAAATTTCATTGGGAATAAAAAATATTTAGAACAAAAGAAAAAAAAGAAAAAAAAACTAAATTTGTAAGTAGTTATTCCCAATTATCGATAGCATTAGAATATAATATCTTATTACAAAAATATCGTTATTATATTTTAAGAAAAATAAGAATATTTTTTCTAATATAAAAATGAATAGAATGAAAAGAAATTTAACAAAGGACTCGTGAAAAATGTTTTTCATATTTCTATTCTGATACGTTATATTTTTTTAAGTAATTGTAGAAAATGTAATAAAAAATCTATAAAAAATTTCGTTAATATAAAAGACCAAAGTGCGTAATACTTTTTGAACATCTAACTTTTCGAATCAATTTCAAAACATTAAGTTTAAAGTAACAATTATTTTGAATATTAAGAAAACGTAAATATATGCACATCGTTATTCATAAATTTTCACTCAAATTTGCCAGTAATTCTAACTTATTCATTATTTTCTATAATTAAAAACGGAATATGATATTATTATGGATCATCAACAAATTTATGCA